CCTGACAAGTGCATGAGCCTGAGTTCAATCCCTGGTTCCGAAAGAAAGAAAGAGAGAAAGAGAGAAAGAGAGAAAGAGAGAAAGAGAGAAAGAGAGAAAGAGAGAAAGAGAGAAAGAGAGAAAGAGAGAAAGAAAGAAAGAAAGAAAGAAAGAAAGAAAGAAAGGCAACAATATGTAATATAACAATTTCTGTTGAATTCCTATCATCTGGTTGATTTTCAAATTCTGTTTCATTTCAAATGTTTTTATTATCTTTAAAATAAAATTTTTTTAGATAAATGTAATTTTATATAATTTATTAATAATATAGTTTGAGAAGCCAAGGTGTACAAAAACTAATTGCAAATATATTGATTCAGCTAGTAATTCTCTCTCCTTGCTGCTTTCAAATAAAGGAAAGTGCATCTAAAATGACTAAATCTGAAGAGGCAATGTTATATTAATCTTTATAATGTCTACATTTCCTTAAATATCTTTGGCATCTTTACATCAATATTGCATGCTATTTTTTGGTAATAACTTTTAGTAAGTCATTCTAATTTGAAGACATATACATAGATGGAAAGGTAGATATCCAAACAAATATAAATCACTGTGTTTATATGAAAGTTCAGTTTCATACAATAAATCATCCCAAAGCAATGATATCTCCTAATAAGAACAATGATCATAAACCAATATGATTTAATTATTAAATCATTATGGCTTCCCTGTGTGCTAATGTGCCCAGCTGGAAGTAGTTCCATTCACTGCCAACCTCCTAACAGGAGAACATCTGACACCTGCATGAGCTTCAATTTCCATAGTTTTTGCATTCAGGGGCCCCAGACTCCAGTGCTAAAACCATCGCATTACCCCCATCAGCTGTGTCTTCTTAGCCTGTCGGGGCCGTGGAACCCAAGACTGATAAACAGAAGCATCTGATGCCCTTAGGCATGTTTTTGCTGAAGTGAATGGATTAACAGTGTAAGCCGCACTTTTTTGGAGATGTCAACTAGCTAGAGTAATAGATGGGATCCCAACAGGGTCAACTCAGTATCTTATCTCATGAAGTGGATAAGCTGTATTAGCAAAGGTTAAAAAAAAAGCAGAGTCAATTTCTTTCTGCCCCATTTTTAATGGGGTTTTCTTATTTTTTTTCACATATCCATTTCATTTTTTTCTCATTTCCGTACCTGTCATCTGTTTCACATTTTAAAGCTTCTTTTCTATCAGTGTATTTATGGGCAGCATAATTCTCAGCATGAGTTTGTGTTTGGGTGGGGAGAGAAATTTGAAGTTTAACAATTGGGTTGGCAAAAATTCATAAATTTGGTAAAAGGCAATATTGGCCAAGACTTAAGGAATATGGTGGCAGTAATATAAAATGATGCAAGTATTTTTTTTTTTGGTGATCATTTAGTTATCTCAGTGCTTCAAGTGTCATTTTTATACAAAAGTTATAATCTATGTGATATATGGGAAAAGCTCTAAGAAACATTAACTGAAAAACATTAAGTGGAAAAGCTGCAGGAATATACTTTATGGAGTGCTTTTTGCATAACACATTTATAAAGGTACATATATGTGTATATAGTCAGTTCTGCCTTAACAGAATGTATTCTTTTATACAAAAGAAAAGACAAGTTTCTTCCAATATGATAGACAGACTGAGGAAAATTCACACTCTCTTAATGCAATTGCATCAATGAGCAAAGCTAGGTGAAAGTAGTAAACTGCATGAAGCTGAGCTGTGCCACACAGTAACACACAAAACGCCCACAGGTGCACAACTCAACATAACCAACTTATCCGGGGCACCCCAAGTCGTACAAACAGCACCCACCTCATCCGGTGTTCAAATTTTCCTTCCAATATCAGACAATATCCTTTCCATTATCTGTCCCATAACTCATAAAAGGCAAACCTTCCACGCCCAACTTCCATAGGCAAACGTTAGGTCTTTTAAAAGGAAAGTGCCATATTTACTATAGCATCTGTATTATTTACCCATATAACATATATCAAACTACACTATAATTTTATTAGGGTCCCAGTTTTTAACTGTTGAATCAGGCCCCATATTTCTTATAACCCTTGTGGCTTTTTTAAAATTTTTACTTTTCTAATTTTTTCCATAATTTTATTGAGAAACGAATAGCAAAGAGACAGTTTCAAATCAAATTGGTAGGAAAGTTTCAATAATTAATACATTGCATACTCTCTTCCTAGAGGTTATTTGCTGTACAAGATGCAGACAAGATATCCTATTTACAAACACTATTAGAAAAAACTCCCTCTATTCATTAAGAGAATGTAACTATATATCTATCCTAAAAATTTTGAATACACAGACACAAAATGGACATTCATCTCTCTCCCCTTTTTTGTTTAGTTCCGTCATTTGAATATTATAGCTGTGTTAACTCAGCAAAATATTTAAAAAGAGTCTAGTAGTCTGTAATAGTATTTGGTCTTCCACTTCACTGGCATTGTCAGAAATTGTTGACCTGAATCCCCTACAGCTCAATGTAACACCATGGCTTTACTTCTTATACTTCATTTTTATAATTTTCTGCTGGATGTTTAAGACCAAGATAAAGCAAGACCTATGCAACAAGAGTTGTAGCTTTTGGATCTTATAAGGTCAGTCAAATCCCCTCAGGATTTATCCTGAGATCCTGTACCTCAGATTGTAGATCAGTGTCAGCGACGGGGATGAGTCACGGCCATTGCTTGACCAATGTGCTCTCTGTGAAAGCCTGAGAGAATGTTTTCTCTCCATGTGTCTCTCCTTAGGCACACTCCACATCATTGGTCACTTTCCTCTTTGGCCCTATAATCTCCTCGATCAGAAAACTT